TAGAATTTTGTTCTACATTTTTCTCCAGCTCTGTCTGGGAACCTCTGTCGTGATCCCTGTCAGAGCAGTCAGTGGTGGTAGCCAGGCACCATCTAGTTATGTTGCACTCAGTCTGGTGGAGGCTGTGGTAGTTGTGGTCTGTTAGTCCTCTGGACTAATCTTTCCCTTGTGCCTTTGGTTTTCTTCATTCTCCCTTGCTCCAGACAGGGTGAGACTAGTGGAGTATCTTAGATGGCTGCTCACAAGCTTTTCAGACCCCAGATGCTACTCACCAAAGTAGAATATTTTCTTTATAAACTATGTTATACCAATTGAGCTAGATGTCTTCCTCCCCACCCCTGTAACCATCAAAGATTGTTTCTTTTTGTGCGTAAATCTTTTCATGAGTTTTTATAGTAGTGGTCTTATACAACATTTGTCATTGACTTATTTCACTCAGCATAAAACCCTTCAGATTCATCCATGTTGCACGCTGCTTCCCAGATTCATCATTGTTCTTTATTGTTGCATAGTATTCCACTGTGTGTATGTACCATAGTTTGTTTATCCATTCATCTGTTGATGGGCACCTGGATTGTTTCCTTCTTTTTGCTATTGTGAACAGTGCTGCAGTGAACGTGAGTGTGCATGTCTATTCGTGTGATGGCTTTTCTCTAGGATATATTCCTAGGAGTGGGATTGCTAGATCATATGGTATTTGTATTTCTAGCTTTTTAAGAAGTGCCATATCATTTTCCAAAATGGCTGTGCCATTTTGCATTCCCACCAGCAGTGCATAAGAGCTCCAGTCTCCCCACAGCCTCACCAACATTTATTTTCTGTTTTCTTGATTTGTGCCAGTAATGTTGGGGTGAGATGTTATTACTGTGGTTTTGATTTGCATTTCTCTAATGGCTAGTGATCACAAGCATTTCCTCATGTGTCTGTTAGCCACTTGAACGTCTTTTTCGTGAAAAGTCTGTTCATATCCTTTGCCCATTTTTTATTATTTTTTAAATTTTTTTTCCCATACAAAAATTTACACAGTGTTATGTGACTCTAATTGCTCTCCCCATACTGTGACAGCACATTCCTCCATTCTACCCGATTCCCCATGTCCATTCAACCAGCTCCTAACCCTCTCTGCCTTCCCATCTCACCTCTGGACAGAAACTGCCTGTTTAGTCTCTTGCATCTACTTGAGCTAAGAGGCACACTCCTCACGAGTATCACTTTATGTCCCAAAGTCCAGTCCAATCCCTGTCTGTAGAGTTGGCCTCAGAAATTAGTTCTGGGCTGATAGAGAATCCAGGGGCCATGTTTTCCGGGGTTCCTCCACTCTCAATTAAGTCTGGTCTTCTTAACAGAATTTGAGTTCTGTACCCCGCTTTTCTCCTGCTCCATCGGGACTCTCTTGTGTTGTTCCCTGTCAGGGCGGTCACCATAGCCAGGCACCATCTAGTTCTTCTGGTCTCAGGCTGATGCAGTCACTGGTTTATGTGGCCTTTTCTGTCTCTTGGCCTTTGCCCATTTTTTAACTGAATTATTTGTCGTCTTGTTGCTCATATACTATTTCTTGATTATCAGTTTTAGTTATTATCTATTGCCTTTCTGCCAAGATGAGGATTTAGTCTACCCATACCATGCTTGCTAATTTGATCATTATATCACTGTGTTTAGTTCTTTTATTGATTACCTTTGTCATCTTGTAGCATCAGCCTTATGAGGGTACCAGTGCCCATATCTCTTCCCACTTTCTACCTATACTTTTACAGTATACATAGGGATTGGTAACATTTATGTTCTATTCTGTAACTATGTTTTTATGTTGATTTATTGTTTCTAAAAGCTGAACACTAATAAGGTGTTTATTATTTCTGTGATGTAAAAAAATTTTACTGCAGGAACAGATCAAGTACTATGATTTTATTTTCTGTATTTCCATGGTTACAAGTTCATGGTCGCTCTTCCATTAAGAGTCAAATATTCCTAAGATCATGCTCGAAAGGCCTCTGACAGTCTATAATCTACCAGTTGCTCAAACTATGACACATTTTAGCTTGCTGTGCCTTATTGTACAGATCCACCTCTGAATGTAATTGCCTCCACTTTTTCCTTTTTGAGAACGGTGCTCCACATTCTTAATATTTCCTGTGTCATAATCATTCTATCTATTATGTGAACTGATGGCTTTCTAGGTCTGTTGTGCAACTGCCGTCCTAGGATGTCTTTTCATTGGACTCTCTGGCTCATTTTACTGGTTTTGATTACCTACGTTTTTCCCTTTCTTGGTGTTTCCACACCTTTTGCTGAAGTATATTCACAAATAACCTGCTAGAAAGAGTGTATGGGAAATCAGCTTTTTAGCACCTTATGTATGACAACAGGAGCCCTGGTGGCACAGTGGTTAAGAGCTACAGCTGCTAACCAAAAGGTCGGCAGTTCGAATCCACTGAGCCCCTCCTTGGAAGCCCTATGGGACAGTTCTTCTCTGCCCTATAAGGTCACTATGAGTCAGAACTAACTCGATGGCAATGGGTTTGGGTTTTTTTTCTTTTCTTTTTTTAGTGTGTCAGTGACTTTCTTTTGCCTTCAGACTTCATGGCTGGTTTGACTAGGTATAGAATTCTAGCTTTAAAATGTTTCCTCATTATTTGGAAGGCCTTAGTCCACTATCTTCTGACATTTAGTGTTTTTGCTATACACTGAGCCAATCTGATTTTTCTCCTTTTATAGATGACCACTTTTTTGACTTCTTTTTTTTGATTCTCTTAAGTTTTCTCTCATTTTTCATCTTCTTGTCTGTTTACATTTTGGAATCCTTCTGTGGAGTTAGTTTTTCACAATCATTTAAAATATCTTAGAGCTTGCTCTTATTCATTGTTTTTCATATTCTTATTCTTGTTTTATAAATACAGTATCTTTTTTAATCCACCTGTTTGTATTTCTTTTGATTTTTCTGTTTATCTTGTCTCACTCTTTCATGCAGCAAGCTTTCATCAACTGTTCAGTAGAAGTTGTCCATTCACATTTAATGAGGGTCTAGGACCTCTGTGTGTGAAGACTGCTAAATTTTAGAGGCATTTGGAGAATTTGTTTAGAGAACATCCTTGTAGATTTTTTTCTGAGTGTATTTCTGCCTCAGCTTTGTGGAACTTCACTGTTTTATCTAAGAGCTACAGTTAATTCCTCTGTTTTCATTCCCATTTCTCACTCCAGCATTCAGTAATACTATTATTTCCTAAGTCACAACCTCTCTGTGACCTCCCTCTCAGCCGTATCGATTTATCAGCTGCAGCCCCCTCTCCTACTGAGTTTTTATATTACTGTCAAACCACCCTCCAAAAAGGTGGTAACCTATAGCAAATTAAGATGCTTAACAGTAGTCAATTAAAACAGAAATACATACTTTAGAGGGATTTTGCTTTTTCGAAATATTAAAAATCTGAGAGGTAATTATTTAGAATTCTTTTAAGTAGACTATGTATTTCAAACTGTATTTGCTTATTAAAAAACTTTTGTTCATTCCATCTCATTCACTAGATCTGTTGGCTCCAACTGACTTGGATTTGAATTCTGGAAACAGCTCATTCTCAAAAGATAAAAGACTCACCAAAACTGAAAATATGCAAAATTATTTGGCTTCTACAGAAAAGTTGAGAATATCTGAAGCAAGTTTACAACCGCTGAAAGTTAAATAATTCTTCCTTTAAAAGAAAACATTCATGTGAATGTATAGTTTGCCTATGTTGGTTTAAAACAAAAAAAAATTACCATTTGTTTAGTCACACTTTTATAGCAGTTAGGTGTCCCTGGGTGGCACAAATGGTTAAGAGTTTGGCTGCTAATCAAAAGGTTGGCAGTTCGAACCCACCAGGCGCTCCTTGGAAACCCTATGGGGCAGTTCTTTCTGTCCTCTAGGGTTGCTAGGAGTTGGAATTGACTTGATGGCAATGGCTTTTAGAGGCGTCTCAGAATTAAAGGCCCGGTGATCTGCTTTTGAAAGGTCACAATTTTGACAACCCTATGGAATGCAGTCTACTCAGACGTGTGAGGTTACCATGAGTGGTTTGGTTTTTGTTGTTGTTGTGACAGCAGTTATATAGGATGAACTAGGAAAGACCAGTAGTCTAGCCATGCAAGGATGAGGGTATGGATTAGGTTGGAGGCAAATTTGGGAGACTGGGAGAATAGTAGTTCCAAAGCAATAGGTCTTAACCCTGGCTGCACATTATTAGAATCACTTAGTATTTTTTAAAATTTAAATTAAAAAAATTAATTTTTAAAAATACCCCCAAGCTCTACCCAAGGCCATTAAATTAGAATCCTCAGACTTATTTGATAAGAAAAATGAGGTTATATAAGTTTTTCCTTCTCAGTTTTTGTCAAATCAAGAGTTGACCAAATTTGGTCTCTTCTTGGTTTATCATTTAATTTTTAGTTAACGTTACATTATTTGTTTGGTTAAAGGACTTTGCCATCTTGTACTTGCTGCCTTTTTTTCTTTTTTTTAATAATCTTACCTGTAATACATATTGTCGAGCTCTGTCCACATCTCCTGGCAAACTGAACCGTCTCATTATCATAGCATTCATTTCTGGGAACTAACCATAAAGAAAGAAAATGTATTACTCTTGGCAGGATCCAATGTTCTAACACTAGTTTGTAGTTTACCATAACATTTGGGGGAAAAAACAATCAAAAAGTGGAGTAAATGTCTAGATGATGTGGGGAGCAGTAAATTGTGGCAGTTAAGGAAACTGAGCTAAGAGAGACATCTGTTTTCCACACCTTGGGATTGAGATGGTGCATGGAGAGGTAACAGCTGTTAGTGTTTGGTTTCATGTTCTGTTCTATCCTTGGAGTCAACTATTGGGTAAGAAAGGGGAAGAGAGCAAAGAATATCTCTAAAATCACAGAAGAAAATGTGAAAAAATGAGCTTTTACAGCAAGATTTTGGTCTATCAAATAACTCCATTTTTATCCTAAAGAGACATGGATTCTTAACCTTTTACTTATTTAGCATTTTGACGTAACAAATATGTAGCATTTCTGAAGTGCCAGGTACTGTTCAAAACACTTTTTTAATCTCACAACAATCTCCATTTTACAGATGTGGAAACATGCATAGAAAAACAATTTGCCCAAAGTCTTAAGCTTTCTAGAAAGTGGTAAAGCCAGGGATCTACACCTAGGCAGTTTTGCTTCAGAGCTGTTCTCTTAACCTAAATTCATGTGTTTTGACCCCCAAATAACCTGTTTCACTCTATGGAAGAAACTGAGGGTGGCCCTAAATCTTGCTCAGTATGTTTTTACTGAAATTAATAATTCTCACTGATTTTTTACCTAGTCACAACTTGATTACAAGTTCTATAATCAGTAAATGCATTTGCTTATTTTTCCCTTATGTGAAAATATTTACCTTTCAAAATCAGCAACAGACTTCAAACAATTTAAAGAAAGCAAAATAGAGTTCAGGTCTTAACCCAACCTTAAAAGTAGTTAACTGTTTTCACAAAGGTACTGAAGAAAATCAAACTGGATTTTCCTATCATAGCATCCCTAAAAAGGAAGGTTGTAGTTAATTTATTGGCCTGTAGTTTTTATTCAAAACTAAAAAGCAGTTTGCATGGCCAATACTGAAGAAGCTATCAGGAGTAAAAACCGAGTGTAGGAAGAATGTTAAATCAGGACCAAATGATGGGAGAACTATGGTTTCTCATCTTGGCTGTGCCATAAAATAGCTAACGACCTTGGGCAAGATTCTCTAAACTTTTTGATTTCAGTTTCTACTTTAATAAAGGGAAACTAACAGGACTGTGCTCTTAAGAAACCTTAGTGTTTCAGCATTCTATTAATATACGATCTAGCAGTGCCACTGAATATTATAAATACTGTGATAATGGCATGTCTGTTTTTAATTTAAAGGCTACAAGTGCTGAAACCAGTCCATCACTATAACTTCCCAGCTCTTTAGGTAATAAACTTGGAATCTAATGTCCTGACAGTATAAATTTAATTAAAATATTTGAGTCTCTGCTAACTTTAAGGCCCAACTTTGGCAGTGGCTCACAGAACCAAGATGTTCTATCATAAGTGTCATTGCCTTAAAGTAGTATTTCTCAAACTTGCCTGATCATAAACATCAGGTGAGGTCCTTGTTAAAAATACTGATTCCTAGGACTATCGGCAAGAGATTTTATTGTTAACAAGAACATCCCATGAGATAAACAGGCAAGTTCAGAAAACACTAAAAGGATGGTAGCATTTTGCCTAGGACATTGGTTATCAAATTTTAGATTGAGTCAGAACCACCTGTCAGAACATTTCTAGGGCTTGTTAGACCATGGCCTGTTGGGCTTCTCCCCTACAGCTTCTCATTCAGTCAGGGTGGGGCTTGACAGTGTGCATTTCTAACAAGTTCCCAGGTGGTGCTGATGCTACTGGTTCCTGAGGACATTTTGAGAACCACTGGCCTAGGATGAAGGAGCCCTGGTGGTGCAATGGCTAAGAGCTCGGTGCTAACCAAAAGGTCCGCGGCTCTAACCCACCAGCCACTGCACGGAAGAAAGATTTGGCAATCTGTTTCCATGAAGAGTTACAGCCTGGGAAACCCTGTGGAGGGGGGCAGTTCTACTCTGTCCTGTAGGGTCACTATGAGTCAGAATCAACTTGATGGCAATGGGTTTTTGGGTTGGCCTAGGATAAAGGTGGAAATGAGGCATTAAATTGAGTGGCATTTGAAAGCTATTGAACTTTCTGAGCAGAGCGTAAACACATAGTAAGGATTAGAGCATTAGTTCTCAACATTGGCTACAAACTGGAATCACCTGGGGAGGTTTATAAACATGACAGTCGCCTGAGTCCTGCTCCCAAAGGTTCTGATTGGCTTGATGTCTGGCCAGGACATCAGGATTTTAAAAGTTCCCAGGTGTTTCTAATGTGTAGTCAAAGTTGAGAACCACTGAATTAGAGAAGCTAGAGGTAGAGATACCAGTTAGGTTACTGTAGTAAGTTATAAAGACCAGAATTAAGCTGAGGTCAATAATAGAAAAAAGAAAACAGGTACAAAGGCATTAGGAAGATAAAATGCATATCTACAATACTTAGCAACTATTTAGGAGAACTGTCACCATTAACAGAAATAAGGAAGCCAGGACACCAAATGACTTAATTTCCTAGATCTGAGTTCTAGTGCTGGTTTTGTTACCAGCTGCCACAGCTGAGTAAGTGCCTTTACACTTGGGTCCTAGCCTCCTCATCTGTATAATGAGGGAGCTGAACTACATAATCTGAAATCCTTTAGTTCTACTAGTCTGTGGTTCCATGGAATAAGAGAGGTAAGACAATGTGTTTTGTTTTGGACAAATCAGAGCCTCCAACAGTTGCTGGTTTTTCCCTGGCAGTGAGCCTGACGGATGAAAGAAGTTGTCCTATAACCATCACCACCATATTAGTAATCCTGAAAGAAAAAATAGGGCACACATAGAAAATCTTCACCAAATTATGGTAGGTGAGGAATCAAGAATGTTTCTTTCAGAGCAAGATATGTGTCAGAACAAAGTTTTAAACATGTAGAGGCTGCTAATAATAACATGCTTACAGAATTTAAAGAGCCAGCAACTGGTTAGTTCTCAAAGGAAAACCAGTAATTTGCTTTAGTTACTGATCTTTTAAGAATAAGCTTTACAGGAAATCAATCAATCAATTTTAGTGGTAAAAAGTCAAATCAATTAGGCATTTGTTTTAGTTTCTTAATGCCACATTCCAAGATTGGATTTCTAGAAGGCTATATCCTCAAAACTAATGTGATACTGTGCTGGGTGGCTGGTAAAATTACCTTGTTTATAGTGTATGAGCCTTTTCTGCAATACCAACAAGTGTGGTAAATTCTGATTGTGTGGTTTCTCTGATTCTTTTTACTATAAAAAGTACTGAGAAACCAGTTTCAAAAAAATATTTGCATTGGGCGTAACTACATTTCTTCCTCTGAAACATGTAATGTGTGCAATTTTAACATGCAAATATCCAAGCTTCCCCTAGGCACTCCTCCAACTCCTGTGTGTATGTGGGAGAAGAAATGAGACATAACAGGAAGAACAGATGCCTGCCTGCAGATTTAGTGAGAGTAAGAAAAGTTGTGTTTGTTCGGGCTCTGTTTTTAAGAGCACAAAAACCACCATTACATAATCAGGTTCTAACTCTGTGAAACTTGTCCATAAACTAAACTAAAAAGGTAATCAGTAAATTGCAGTTGGCTTACCCCACCAAAACTTGATAACTGTAAGGCACCAATTAGTCACAAGGCAGAGCCTGTGCAGCTGGTGCAGGGGCTGGTGATGGCAGTTGGAAGTACGGCTACAGGCTGACATTTAGGTCTGTTGATTTAATAAAAGAAGCAGAAGAAGAAAGGAAAAGATTTTTTAAGGAATATTTGAAAACTAATATAGTGTCAACAAAGAGGTAAACACTTCCATTCTGTTTCTGAAGGTTTCAAAATCCAATCAATTTACCCTTTAAAGATTTTTTTTTTTTAAACATGAGGTTTTTGCTCTTAAAGAAAATATGTATACACACATAGATAGAAGGCCACTGTCATCACTGGAACCTCTCCAGGAATTCTGAAACTTTTCTTAAAGTCCCCTGTAACAACTGTCATCAAGGAAACCCCTTCAAAATATTTCAAAATAGTGAAATTCCAAAGTGAGTTACAGTGTAGGACTATGTGGAAGGTAGGGAGCTTCTGTCGAGTGCTGATCCAACAAATTGCAATTTCAAGACAACCGATTATGCCAGGTTAAAAAGAAAAGTGGTTTTCCAACATTGCTTGTCCTGGTCCAGTGAGACTCATAATCCATGTTCATAAATGGGGAGAGTTCAAAGACTGTTTACCTAATCTGCAAACAAAATTCATCCACCTATGGAAAGGATTACCAATATCTTAGAACTACTCCACTGCTCCACTAAATGGGTAAGTTAGTCACAGTAATGAAGGGGTGACACAGAGACTCTTCTTTGGGTGTCACCAGTACAATTTCAGTGCCAGGGCATACTGGTTATCTGCTCTGTGAGAACATCTAGTGAGTATTCATAAAAGCTCATCAGGTACTTCACTTTTACTAACATTATCAGGGGCAATAACATTACATGGTGTAGTAGAATGAATAGTGGTCTTAGAAGACTTGAAGTGTTAGTTGACTGCATGCAATTTACCGGATGTTTAATTTTGGTCAGGTTTGAAGACCAGTTCTTTACTTGTAAAATGGACATGACATAATGATACGCACCACAGAGAGGAGCTGTGAGATTAGAGATACTGTATAAAAGAATTCTTAGGCAGTGCATTTTCATTAAATGTTATTTTTGGAACTTGTTTTACCCAAAATTAATTTTATCCCCATAAATCTTTTGACAAACAAATTTTTTGCCAAGAATCCCTTTTTTGACAGTATAATGCATAGTTGAGCTTAAACATGCTGTTTTATTTGGGGGAAAGAAAAACAAAAAATTAATAAATACATATCCGACTAACTTCTGGCTCATGTACCACAAGACGGAAAAACCAGTCTGCTTAGGAAACAAGTCATGCCCAGTTCGAGTGTCATTTCCTGCTCAGCCTCATTCTGTGTTCCCTTTTCTGAGGCTGCAATGTGCCTTCTTAACTCCTTTTCCCACTGCCTTATGGGCAGATGAGAAAAGTGCTGTCTGGTTAGAGTGAGTGTGGAGCCTCGTGATGCTGGGATTTCCCAGAGAAACAAAAACAGTGGTTTGGGGCACTGCAGCCTTTTGTTACTTCCTTTTCCTTTTTTTTTTCCTCCCCTTTACCAGCATTTTTGAGTCTCTTGTAGATTACTGACAAATCAATATATTTTAGCACACTGGGTTCATCACTATAATTTATTACTCTCATGTATTAATCAGGGTCTGAGTAGTGGATTAATGTTTGTAGTTGCAGAAATGGTAGCCAGTGACTAATTTTTCTAATCTCAATCAAACATGCCTTTACCTTTACATGGCTCATGAATACTTTGCTTTTTTTGTGGGTAATGATAAAACAGGAAAAGGTTTCTCACTTATGCCTTAATGTATGAAAGGGGATTTTATTAATTTTTGTCAGCACTGGCACACTTACTAATATTTGTTTTAATTGGGTTGGTGAGTCAGCCCTATAGAACCAAAGTCTCCCAGTCAGTGTCACTGGGAGAAAGGACCCATCTATAGCATACATTAAATTTCTCACCTCTGCCTCAAAATTTTGAGAGGCTGGAACCCAGTAATATTGAAGATTGATGTTTCCAGAGTGTTCCAAAATCCCCATCCACAGCCCTTATTCCACAGCTGACCGCTGTCCACTAGCATGTTCCTAAGGTAACCTGTACCTACGCCAGCAGTGCCAGCAGTGAACCTCACCTAGGAAGAGTCATTCTGGCTATGACTCTCCTAGAAAATAAAGGATGATCTCTCCACTCTGGAATCAGAAATTATACTGCTTTCTATAATGTCAAAATGGAATCAGTGATTTATAAAAGTTCTATGGAAGACATGACTTACGTTCGCAAATTTTGAGAAAGAATAGAGTCAGAATCCCTGAAAGACTAAAAGTAAAATTTTAGAACAAAATGCTAGTTTTTAATTTCATGGCATGGTGATGAACATCTTTATAGCTCTGCTAAATAACGAATAAAATACCATTAATATGAAAATCTAAAAAGATGTCCCAGGTGCCAGCCAGTGTCCATATATTTCACCTAACTTTTGGCACAGCCAAGAACAGTGTGGCCATGGTCCAGAGCAGGCTGTGAAAATGTCTGCTTTGTAAGTCACTGCAGCCTCTGAAGCTTCCTAAGCCTTTCATCCATGCTAGGGAGAATATGAATCTGGAGAAAGAAGGAACTGTGATTCTAGTGGTGCATTCCACTGACTTTTTGCCATTTTGAGGGGATGGGGCTCTCTGAGGCCTCTCTCAGAGCAGCAAACAGTCTAGAACAGAGAATTTCTGAGAATCTCTTAGGCTCAAATGCCCCTGACACTTCCTGTGCCTTAAGGCCTCTGCCTACACTCAAAATGTGGAAACCACTCATCTTGCCAGTGTCAAAAGTATATGGAAATAATCACGCTACTTCAAATGCATACAATTTACAAAGTATCTCCATGTATATTATCTCAGTTAATCCTCACAACAGTCTTGGGAGGAAGGTTCTTATTTTACAGGTAAGGAAATAGGCTTAGAGAGGTGAAATGACTTCCCCTAACATCTCGGTCACAGAGCCAGGATTAAACCCAGGTCTGCAGTCTCTTCTCTGCTTTAACCTTCCCATCATGCTGTGCCTGGGAGACTTTGGTTCTATAGGACTACATATCAGTGTGTGTCAAGGGAGTTTGTAAAACCTACCTGCTGACAAGCAAATAACACAGGTCCAGTGGCTAACCCGAGCTTCAGGTCGGCTGATGTTGGTTTGCCCATCTGCTGTGAACACGAGGTAAAGTCTAATACGTCATCTATTAGCTAGCAAAAGGAAAAAAAAGGAATGTAAAAAGCACCACAGTCCCAACATCACTGCCACCCTTTCCCTGCCCTGAGGATTTTAGTCTGGGAACAATGTTGGCTGTGCCGACCTGCTACCATTCTTATAAATAAGCATACCAACCTGAAAAGCTATTCCCACATTTTTTCCATATTGATAGGCAATCTCATGCACCACTGGGTCAGGGCAACCTAAGACAGAGACCTGAAACAGAGAATTGTGATATAAGCTGCTGGCAGGAAGAAACAAGGTCGTAAACTCCTGGATGGAAGGATTTACACAGCAGTAATACAATCCCTTAAATAAGAGGTAGGGAAGCTAGATGATATATAATCAGATATTTCTATTAGAAGATCAAACATGAACAAAATAATGTTTCCAATGAAAAAAATTCACTCTTGGATGGTTTTCTTAAATTCTAAGAAAACCCCTTCAAGACAGTAAGCAGTCTTTCCCATTGCTTAGGAAAAACTAAACTTCAACTAGACTAGCTCTGCAGGTAATCTGCTAAGTAAATCTCTTTGACATGCAAAAGATATGGACCCTAATACGTAAAGTACTGGCTTCTAGCACGCAGCAGACCAGCCCAGTTGTTGGCTTTAATAACCTCTATTGATTTATCCTAATTAGGGATAGATACTGTATCTACTAACCATACACATGTTGTTGCCGTATCTACATTTCCCCCATTGTAGTCCTCGCTTTTAATAATTTTTGGTGATTTCATCTGTTTCTAAAATGCAGTTACTTCTTGGTATGTTTGTAATAGCCTCAAACCTCATGCTTCAGACATAGTTATAACTCTTATCAGAAGGATCTTCACTGGCCCTAATGTTTCCATATTTTTTCTCACAAGAAGTAATATAACTATATAAAAACTTCTCAGTGGGGGAGAAATAGTACTTCTAAAAGTCTTTTTTTAAACTCCAAAAAACTAGCTGGCACTGGCTGCTTGACTGCATTTCCCGCTGCTCTGCTAGGCATGCTAAGCAGGCCCAGCACATTTACAGAAAACAAAGACTGTGGTAAACCAAAGGGGTAGGGGAGAAAGACAGGCTATTCTACTGAAGAGGAAATGTCTACATTGACTCTCAATGAGAAAGCTCTTCACTGTCTCCTTTTAGTACTGGATCACTGATGATTAAGAACCCTGTTCCCTGACCCTGGATCCTACCTCAGTGATTCTCTGGTCAGGGGCCATACTTGACTCAGGCAGTCAGTATGTTTAACTGGTTAGGTGGCAGGCTCTGCAGTTAGCCCCTAGAGTTGGATTATGCCCCTTGTAAATACCATCTGACCTTGGCTTGTTATTTAATCTTTCTGTGCCTCAGTTTCCTCATCTGTAAAATGTAGGAATCAATAGTACTTAGCTCATAGGGTTGTTGTGAGGAATAAATGTGATGCTGCATTTAAGCCCTCAGCATAGTACCTGGCATCTGGTTAGAACTCAACATATACTTACTATTATTTTTAGCAATGCTCCTCCTCATACACTGGAGCCAGAACCAGGAGCCCGCACAGTGTCCAACCACCTCTGCTAACAAAGCCAGATCACAGAATTCTTCCGCTGGGAGAACTCCTTTGACGACTTAATGAAGTCTGTGACTGTGAAATGTTTGGCCGTAAGTCCAGGATAAAAATGCACACACCATAAAAGGTCAGGTGGCCACTTTTTTTTTATTGTTTTAGTTTAAATGACGTTTACATTTCAAGTTAGTCTCCCATACAAAAATTTATACATCCATTGTTATGTGACCCTAATTGCTCTCCCCATACTGCGACAGCACACTCCTCCTTTCCAGCCCTGGTTCCCCATGTCCATTCAACCAGCTCCTAACCCTCTCTGCCTTCCCATCTCACCTCCAGACAGAAGCTGCCCATTTAGTCTCTTGTATCTACTTGAGCTAAGAGGCACACTCCTCACGAGTATCACCTTATGTCCCACAGTCCAGTCCAATCTCTGTCTGAAGAGTTGGCCTCGGAAATTGTTTTAGTTCTGGGCTGACAGAGAATCCGGGGGCCATGCTTTCCGGGGTTCCTCCACTCTCAGACAATTAAGTCTGGTCTTCTTAATAGAATTTGAGTTCTGCACCCCACCTTTCTCCTGCTCCATCAGGAACTCTCTGTTGTGTTCCTTGTCAGGGTGGTCATTGGTGGTAGCCAGGCACCATCTAGTTCTTCTGGTCTCAGGCTGATGAAGTCTCTGGTTTATGTGGCTACTACTTTTCCTTGTGTCTTTGGTGTTCTTCATTCTCCTTTACTCCAGGTGGTTGGGACCAATTGATGCATCTTAGATGGCTGCTTGCAAGCTTTTAAGACCCCAGATGTGGTAGCCACTTTGCTGACTGAAAAATAACTCATAACTGCTTTCAACAGCAAAGACCTTAGCACCAGTAGGCAATGACCTATGGGGCTGAGGCAAGGGACTCTTCTTCAACTATACTAAAGACTCTGTGGGACCACATGGGGGATAATTTAGAAACTTTGAAAGACGCCATCAACTTGGCTAAAAAAAATGAGAGTATGGCAAGATTTGGGCAGTCTGGAATGAGCTGAGTTCAGAACAGAATGATATTCCTTTCATAGGCAAAATAACTGATAATAGAAGCAATTCTCTGAAGCCAGATTAATAGTGTTTCCTCAACACAAGGCCACACAGAAATAGAAACTTTCTTCCTGAGAAGCAAAAGATTTTTAAAAAAAATATTTCTAAACTAAATGAATAGGAATTAAAATTTATAGAACATATAAAATCTATTTCTAAACTCAATAAGAATTAAAGTCTATGGAGCACATGTGATTAGCACTTTACATTATTTTAGCTAAACATCACAACATCCCATAAATATTGATTTTGTGGATGATGATGATAAAAACTAACAAAAATTTGGTACTTAGTATGTGCCAGGCACTATTCTGAGGATTGTCACATATTAACTCATGAAGCAGGAACTAAAGCATAGAGGGTACCAGTTGTTACAGGGCTAGGAAATGTTGGAATCAGAATTTTTACCCTAACATCTTGGCTCTAGAGACTGCTCTCTTAATCACTTTGCCATGCTACTTCTAATGGCGGCAAAATGGAAGCTGAGAGAGGTCAGGTAACATGCCCAAGTAACCATAAACCTTGTCGGTTCACATTGTCCACTTCTTGCTCACGTATGCTTCACATACAGATTTCAACTACTGCAGTGTAAAGACCACCACAGAGGATCCTGCTCCCCCAGTCCAGTAAGGAATGTTTGGATCTCTGGCAATGAAAACATAAAACAACTATCAAAATGAGGAAAACCAGATGTAACACAACACAAAAAATGGAAAGGAGGTGTACTGACAGCAAATTAACCCAGCTTGTTCCTAGCATCATAGAAGGGCTGCCTTACATCCTCTCTGGAAGTATGTAGAGTACAAAGTGATTTGTAAAAGAAAGTGGAGACTGCCTGTTTTGTTTGAACCCAATGCCACAGCCAGGCCATGTTGTGCATATGTGATTCTTTCTGGGGAATGTCCATACCTTTCATCAAATTCTCAAAAGTCATGTCAAAAAGATTAGGAACCACTGCCAGGGGCAGAGCACTTGACATTTTTCAAATATTTCTGGCCTTAAAGTGTGTGTTTGTGCCATTATAAGTTAAGAGATATATTCTGATGTGTGTGTGCACATATATATATATGGCAGTCTTATTTAGTAAAAGAGATTACTGGAATGTCACCATTACATAAAATAATACAAAAGAGGTTGTTGTCAAAAACCAGCTGAAAATTTGGGGATAGTATATGCAGCATGGAAACCCTGGTGGTGTAGTGGTTAAGAGCTACAGCTGCTAACCAAAAGTTTGGCAGTTCGAATCCACCAGGTGCTCCTTGGAAACACTATAGGGCAGTTCTACTCTGTCCTATAGGGTCACTGTGAGTCGGAATCAACTTGACAGCAACGGGTTTGGTTTTGGTTTTTGGTTATATGCAACATATATCACAGATAAAGAGCTAATATTCTTACTATATAAGAAACTCTTAAATTAAAACTTAAAGAAAAAAGACCAAACACCCAATAGAAAAATGGGCAAAAACATGAACACAAAATTCACAAAAAATTAAGATATAAAAATGGCCCTAAGCATATGAAAAGATGTTCAACCTCACTCATGAAAGAGAGATGCAAATTAGAAGTCCACTGCAACACCATTCTCAACTACCAAACTGGCAAAAATTGAAGTCTATGGGGAAATACTCTCATAAATGGCTGGTGGAAATGCATATTGATACAATCCTCATGGAAGGAAAACTGGTAGTGTCTAAGAAAACCACATATGCAATTACCTGTCAAATTTACCCTGAAAGTATACCTCTAACAAATGTAAAAATACATTTGCACAAGGTTAGTCATTGTAGCATTGTTTGTAAAATATTGGAAACCCAAATGTCCATGCCTAAATGTTGAATAAGCTAATGGCACATTCATACAATGGATATAATGCAACTGTTTAAAAAATGAGGAAGAGTCTACAAACCAAAATGATTTCTATAATATATTGTTAAGAAAGCAAGGTGCAACGGGAAAAACAAGTAGTATGGTATACTACTTTTTGTTGTAAGAAAGAAGATGGGGGAAGAAAACCCCACAAAACTTTGAAACCAAAAAAACAAAAGCAGTATGAATGCAAGGAAACCCCTAAGATGGAATAAAAATGAACATCGTCGTATTTCAAATAATAACATAATCACATTAAAAGAGGTAGAAAGGTAACTTTTGAACAGTATATTGACTATATTTAGGCTAAAGACAAAAGCAACTATAAACAAGTATTTATAAATATAAAAGTTTGTTTTTTACAGAAATATGAGTTAGCAATTTTGAATACTCCTATGTGTATTCCAAAAGGAGCCCTGGTGGTGCAGTGGTTAAGGGCTCGGCTGCTAACCGAAAGGTTAGTGGTTCGAACCCACTAGGGGCTCCACAGGAGAAAGACGTGGCAGTCTGCTTCTGTAAAAATTATAGCCTTGGAAACCTTATAGAGCAGTTCTATTGTCTTATAGGGTTGCTATGAGTTGGAATTGACTTGACGGCAATGGTTTTTTTTAAAATGTGTATTCTACGTTTGAGCAAATATATCGTGAAGAATGGGAGTCAAGTTTCTCACTGTTGGGGAAGGGAGTTACAAATATAGAAAGACAGAATGCTAGAATAAAACATGAATCCTATCTATTAGATTGGATTTGGAGCTATCAGATGATACTTCATGGTTTTTAATAAATATAGATGTATATAGAAAGACAAATATATACATGTACATAAATTACAAATATATAATACTCTGTCCTTTGAGGAGGCCTAGAAGCAATGACAACCAGCGCCCTGATCTTGGTTTTTAAATACCGGTCTCCACTAAAAAGAACCAAGGCTCTTTGGAAAAATGGTGGATTCCAGGAGTGGGAAAGACAAGATGACCCTGGAACATCTTACGCTACAAATTAAGGAAGTACTGAAGGAATGACAGGGATATGTCAAAAGGATGCAGAGGCTACGTTAAAGGGCCCCCTTCAATGGCCAAATATAGGACAACTGAGCATTAAAACAAATGATAACAAAGGATTATAATCCACCGAATAAGAATCCAAAAGTCCACACAAATGAGAATGTCTTTACAATACAGTACCAACTCTATTGTAGAAGAATAACGCAGAAGGAATGAGAGAATTAGAAAAAATTGCCATTTGGCAACCAGCATGGTAATAACTGGCTGAGGAAAGAATCATAAATACATGATAAAACCAGAGGATGGGAATTTAATGAGACACAGAATATTTACATAATCTCAAAATACCTCACCCCCAAATACTTATAATTTCAAAGGGAAAAATAGTAACTTTAAAGTGGAGAAACCTGGCAGACACTACCTTCAAGTGATCAAAGTGAACATTACCAGTAAAGGGATAAACAGACATCATGCATTCTAATGTGCTAAAATGAGAAGACAGCATCACTTCTGTTCTTGCCAAAAATTCATTAACTCGAATCTAATCTTGAGAAATATCAGACAAATCCAACTTGAGAGACTCAACAGCAGAACTGGCCTGTACTCTTCAAAATATCAAGATAATACAAGATAAAGACTGAGAAACTGTTTCAGATTAAAAAAGACTAATGATTCATGACAACTAAATGTAACACGAGATCCTGGATTGGATCCTAGACCAGAAAAATTTTTTTTCTTTTATTATTAACAGACAATATTAGGAAAACTGGCAAAATATTATTAAGGTCTGTAGATTAAACTATTGTAACAACAACAACAAAGAGTACTCTGCTAATATTGACCTACAAAACAAAATTCTATGCTTTTGCTGTGGTAAGAAAAGCGGTGGCACTATGTGGCTTTGAGAATAATGTAATAGGAAGACAGCCCAGACCACATTCAGCCCTGGAGAGAAAAATACAGAAAAAATCAAGGGAAAAACAACTAACTGCAGAATTACCACACCCAGTTCTGTGTTCAAGTCCTAGCTCAGCCACAGTCTGGAGGAATAACACTGGACAGGCAACTTGACCGCTCGGACCTTATTCCCATCATATTTTCTGGGGAACAAGTCACAGCTTTCATTGTTAAGCTACAGCATGTATTTTGCATGACTATGTATAAAGATAATCATCTTTTGATAAAATTAATTATATTTTAATATCAACCAGAGTCACAAAATAATCCCCCTAGGCAACACTTTTAGATTTTAACATTATCTCCACTGAAAACATGATACGTGCAACGCTTAGGGACACTGAGCTTCTATTAAGGGTGATGGAAAAATTAGGGAATGGTGATTGTTGAACATGATGAACACATTAAATGTCACTGAACTGTACATGTGAAGATGGCTGAAATGGTTAAATGTTTTGTTACCTATATATTTACCACAATAAAAAAATAAAATAAAATACAATGGGTGGTTAAAAAAAGTGGGAGGGGGGAAGCTTTAGAAATGGTGTCTTTTAATAAGAATTAAGATTAACAATTTATGCTGTCACCAGAAACAATAGTAGAATGAAATATAAGCTACTAAATTTCCTTCAAATTCCCATAACATCTTAGAATTCCATTAGTTCTTCTATAATAATTCTGATGTTTAAATTTTATCACTCCTCTTTTTGGTGCCTCTATTTGCTTTGTATACGTTCTTTTGCAGCCCACATCTTTGCATTTTAAATACCAAGAGTACATACAAATAGCAAATTTGAATATATAACACCTCTGGAATATTTCCACCCATAGGGACTTACGAATATAGAAACTTATTCCGAGAGCTAGTGCTGTGATTGTGCTTTATTATTCTAACTGCCCTGGAGTTTAGGAATAAATCACCTACATGAAAGCAGGTAGCTCTAGGACAATGCCAGCATGCCTCCTAGTGGACAGCATAAAACACTCTATTTTTAATAAGGGTTGAGCCATGTTAATATACATGCCCTTTACTTGCTCATCTTGGAAGAATGAGGTGCTCTTCACAGAAGGGTATGTCTCTAGCTTCTTAAGCAAAGGATGGTGACCATGGTTAAGCCTTTCCTCGATGACTCAGGTCCACTTTGGGCCCTTCCAGGAGAACAGTTTACTTGTAACACAGAATGCATCAATGACTGTTGTGTTCCAGTGTGGTGCCACTCTCCTGTACCGTGGGCCTGTGGGATGTCCACCCTGTGTGGACAGCAACTCTCAGTGTTTCCAGTTCCAACAACTCCACCACTCGTTAGTGCTTCCAAACTACAGTCTTAAGTTTGTGAAATCAGTTAGCTTCACTTAATACACTAGTCTGCCTTATAAGGGTGGATATCTTGATCTTCATGGAGTTTTTGGCAATCAAACGGTATGATAATCAATGAGTAATTAATTAACAGGCTTTATGGCACTCATTTTAAATAGGTCATTATTTTATTTAGCATTCTAGTGTCTATCATACTTTCCTCTTTTTTTTTTTTAAATCACACTTGTAATTTCTTGGAAATAAAAAATTAGTCCTTTCAATAAAAAGAGAAAATTGGCTGCAACTGCGGCCAGCATGTTCTGAATAATTAACATTCCTTAGGGTTTCAACTGAGTTTTTTCTGGCTCACAATTATATATTTTTTGACACTTTTCAAAACAGAGATGCTACAGAGGAGGTATTTCATCTGAAAGGTCTGAGAAAAGGCTCTGTTTAACTGTAATTATGTTAAGAGTATGTGATGAAAACAATTTACCTTACAGGTCTTCCTTTTTTGAGTTACAAGGAACTGAAAAGCAAACCCAGATTTCGCCTCTTTTATGTCTGACTGCGGGATGGTCAGACGAACAATTCTATAGACAGAACTGTCTCTCATCCAAGGGCTAACACTGAATACTACACATTTAACCTACAGATTAAAGATAATATTACTGATTTTTTAAAAAGACAAGTATGTGGAGAGTGGAGAAAGGGCCAGGGAGAGAGCAAGGGGGAAAAAAAATGTCATGGTTCGCACTCAATTTAAACCCTGAAGAAAAATGGCTTGTTTATATTTCATATAAAAGTCTTGGATGAATCTACTACTCATAAGAAAGTATATACAATTCAAATACAGTCTAATAGATATTTTCTCCTGGGTAAATTAAACAAACAAAAAAAACAAACTCGTTGCCGTAGAGTCGATCTGACTCATAGCGACCCTATAGGACAGAGTAGAACTGCCCCATACGATTTCCAAGGCTCTAATCTTTACAGAAGCAGACTGCCACATCCTTCTCCCGCGGAGCAGCTGGTGGATTTAAATGGTCAACCTTTAGGTTAGCAGCTGAATGCTTTAACCACTGCACCACCAGGGCTCCTTCCTGGGTAAATTATAAACACAAAAAGATGATATTTACTTAGAAATGAAAACAACTTATTTATGGTGTTCCTGCTTTGACCAGGGATTTCTTAATTTCTTAGCAAGGAAATGACTATCACTTTTCCTTTATAACTGTTGAAATTACGTTGATCTCATTCCTGATTTTTTTTTAAGCTTTCTCACCTTTTTTTTTTTTTAATTTATACATAAAATAATGGTGCATCTTACAAATGATGGATGGTTTCTTAGATTGCATGAAATAAGATGTTTTTAACTCTGGTTCTCAGCCTGTATTTCACCAGGTAGAAGAAAGCAGAACCAATTTAGATGAGACACTGGGTTTTGGTATTAACTCCTAAGAATCCTCTTAATTCCCAGAACATGGTATGCAGTAACCTACAGCTCCTCCCTCTGCCATACTTTTAACTTTGGACTCTTGTGTGTCTCTTTATTCATTCCAGTTTCCCCAGCCTACCAACATATGCTTGATTCCTGCACACCTGATATGCCAAGGATTTTCCAGAGATAACTGCCATGTGTGTAATGTGTGTGGAGGGGGGTAGGTCTCACTCCAGCTTTTGATCGAGAAACCTATCATATTTAAGAGCACAGAACTTCATCACTTTTTAAGCTAAAAACTCAGTGTGTATGTGACAACACTCAAATTACTTATGATAAATTGTTCAAAATGTTACACAGTTTGGAAGTTAGATTAGGAAATACATTATAAAGCTTATTTTGATTTAATTCTTAGAGGAAAAGTTTAAAAGTTAATGTCTGCATACCAAAAGAAGACAGGAAAACCATAGCAGAAGTTGTCTGTGGATGTTAATTCCTTCCTCATTGACCTCTTGGTATTTTGGATACTATTTTAAGGTTCTCCAGTGAACTTTTTTCTAGGAGAATTAGCTCCCAAGAAAGAGCTATGAGGCATTCGTTAACTTGAAAAGACAGAACGTACATACTGCTTTACAACTGTTGGCTATCAGACTTGCAGTCTTCTTGAAGGTCTTTTCAAGGTAGTGGGCAAATCTTTCATTCTCATTTTCTTTTGACCCTAGTTGAAGAAATTCACCTATAAAGAAGGAAAGGGGTCATGAGAAAAAGTTTTATTGCCTTGACTGAACACCAAGATGGAATAAAAAAGAAGAAAAGTCAGAATCAACCTACCACGCACCAAATCTTCAATAACTTGGGTTAAAATAGATATAACTGTTGTATTTCCAATTCGTGCCAAAGCTATAGATGCTGCAGAAAGAATTAAATCTCCAGCAAGAACAGCCTAGAAAAGAAGAAAAAAACCTTCACAGACAAGTATCAGAGTAATGAGCCAACAATGAAGTTGGCTTATCTGAAGATAAATAAAGAATGGGAGGGAGAAGCCATTTTAGATTTAAGTTTTTTTCCCCTCCCTCTTCCTCAGCAGGATTATGTAATAATCAGTTACAATTTAGGAACATCTTTTGAGCTAGATGAGATCTCAAAAATTACTTAGTCTATCGCCCCAATTCAGAGGTGAAGAAACAAATGCCCATAGAGGGAAAACAGCTCATCCTCTACCCTCTACCAAAACGCAGCTGCCTTCGTTTTAGTAATGCTGAACCATTTGCTCTTCCCCCAAACCATGTTGCTGGGCCTTTCATTTACCGTTTCTTCTGCCCAGAAAGTCCTTCCCCTTCTTCATTTAGTGGATCTATTTGCATAATTAGCTCAGATGGTGTCTCTAGGAAGCCTAATCTGATGCCCCACTCAACCAGATGCCTCTGTTCTGTGGGAGCACGACATCTCGCACACTGCTCTGTGTACTGCACTTTCCATCCCAGTCAGGGACTTCCTTGTTTATTTTCCTATTTACTCAACACCTGAGTGCATAAGCTGGGAGTGATTTCAGGTAGCACTCAGTACACCCTAGCACATTTTTTTCAATGAAAACTAAACCAAGGAATCTTGGCTCCAAGTTCAATGTTCTTTGTACTTCATTATACCGCCCCCTTATTCCTAGACAAAATCTCTTTTTTCAACTTCTCTGAGCAGTAGATAATACTCTTCTAATCTTCTTTGGATTGTTAGCATATGTCTACATCATATTAGGAACTAATTATAAATTATACACAATTAAATGCTGTAATCAAACACAATATATACATATATATTAATATGCATTATTTAAAGATATGCATGAGAGTCATTATGCTACAAATCAGTCATAAATGCTAGAGTTCATAGAAATTTCAATTCATAAAATTTTCAACATAACTACACTCTATGTTTTTATAGTGACAGTTCTCTAGTACCTAAAATTAGTGATGTTCAGTATGTTTATCATTAAATCATCATTTTATAATCTCATTATATATCCCTATATAAATCTCTGTATAAGCATACATTTGTAAAATCATTTCACACATATGTGTATACACATATATATCCATCCATCCACCCCTTACATCTTTACTAGCTCAGGGCTTGGGATCCTTAGGCTTTTGCCACTTTCCTCTCCTGGCCATGGGTATCCTAGAGGCCAAAAGGTTCCCGGCATATGAAACTGAGCCACAAGATTGTGGATGGTTACAGGTAAGGAGTTAAAAAAGAAAGGGCTGGGAAACTCAAGCCAGTGGTAACAAGGGTCATGGGGAAGGGATTGTGTGAATGGATTTTATGTAACATGTAACAGTATTTAGAGTGGTTAAAGCACTCGGGTGCTAACCAAAAGGTTGGTGATTGGAACCCACCAGGTGCTCTGCAGAAGAAAGATATGGTAGTCTGCTTCTGTAAAGATGCCAGCCTAGGAAACCCTATGGGGTAGTTCTACTCTGTCCTATAGGGTCACTATGAGTCAGAATCAACTCAAGGGCAACAGGCTTGGTTTTTTGTTTTTTTTTTTTCCTAACAGTAGCTTTGGTTCAGGGGGAAACCCTGGTGGCATAGTGGTTAAGACCAAAAGGTCAGCAGTTCAAATCTACCAGGCACTCCTTGGAAACTCTATGGGGCAGTTCTACTTTCTCCTATAGGGTCGCTACGAGTCAGAATCGACTCGATGGCAACAGGGTTTTTTTTTTTTTTTTTGCTTTGGTTCAGAGGCAGAATTGAGGAAGAGACTGGCAGGCAGTCTCCAGCTGCGGAAAGAAGCAGGTGATATGTTACAACACAAAGCCTTTTCATCTAAATTTTGAAATAAAAGGCTCACAAATGAAATTGTAGGACTCAATTACACAACAAAGTTATTTACACTAAAGCAAAATCAGCAAGTGAAGAGGGAAGGGAATTGGTGAGGGGAATTAAAAACCAGGAGGGACTCAGGTACTATACGTATGTGAGGAAGGGGAAGGTGAGGAGAGGGAAAACTTATTCACATAAGCTTTTTGTTTGCTCTTTAACTGGGCAGGACAGCTAACGGAGGTGCGTGCATAGTGGTAGAGGCCAGCTCCAAAATAGCCTGTACACCTTCAATTCTATTTCTTCAACTTGATTCCCATTCTTGAAACCATGATTTAAACATCCTGAAACAAAAGTTCCCATTTCAAATACTCCTCTTCAATAAATACTAATAAAATAATATGGAAAGATGCTTAAAAATATATACGTAAGAATAAAAACCAACTATAGAACCTCTACTTAAAAAGGTAAAATTTTCATGGTAGACCAAATTTCCATGGTAGAGCTGTATCTCTTTGGGATTTAATTTTTTTTTCTGTCTATTTCCTTGCCTTGACACTCTTGCACATGGTAGTCAATCAATGAATATTTAAAGAATTAACCTGAATCTAGGTTAATGTAAGCTCAAAAGTAAAACGTATGATTCCCCGTGAAATATGTTTTTGGATACCTACGAAAAATCCTTTTCCTTATAACCAAAAGGAATCCTATATGAAACAGAATAATCAGAAATACTAACTTTATTTTTCTATAGTATTTTCTGTTATCTATCAAATATCTACATATACCAATAAGGTATACTTTTTTGAAAACTGGAAGACATTTGAGCAGCATATTTTACATTTAATGAGACAAATCTAAAAAATAAATGCAATCCAAAGAACACATGCTTTTGTAAGAAAGATTAAAAAATAAAACAAAACCATACCTTCTTTTCCCCCCAGATCTTATTAACTGTGCGCTTTCCTCTTCGAGAACTTGCATCATCAATAACATCATCATGAACCAGACTAGCAGTGTGGATCATTTCTGCAATTAAGGCTATGGAGCGCTGGCTTGCTTGCACATCTCTAATTAACAGAAAGCAAGGCTTTTTAACAGAGATGCTGCCTATAACCTCCTCAGCAATCATCATGTGAAAACTGGACATCGGATCTAGGACAAAGAATTTTATTTCTCTAAGAGAAACTGTATACAAATTTTGGCTTCCCTATAAAGCCATTTCTTTCATTTGGAGAACATCTTAAAAATGTATGAGATACCCTGCCAAGATTATGTTTTATGGACACCATACTAAGAAGCAGAATCTGTATAACTGACAATAAAAAAAAGTATAAACAGCTCAGAAGTCTGACCACTGGGCTCCCTGAAAATTCATCTTTATATCCATGGCAGTCCTCTTGTTTGTTGATTAAGTTTATAATTAAGTTACAAAGAAATTTCAGAGGGGAAGGGGTGGATAAGAAACATTCTAAAGTTATTTAAGAACCAAGTGTGGACAAATACTGAATGATTTCACTTATATGAAATATTAAAAGAAACAAACAAACAAAAACCCCACTGGTGTTGCTGATTCTGACTCATAGTGACCCTACAGGACAGAGTAGAACTGCTCCATGTGGTTTCCAAGGCTGTACTGTTTACGAAAGCAGACTACAACATCTTTCTCCCATGGAACAGCTAGGGTGTTCGAACCACCAACCTTTGGGTTAGCAGCTGAGCACTTAACCACTGCGCCAAAAGGGCTACTATGATATATTTAGAATAGGCAAATTCACAGAGATAGAAAATAGATTAGAGGTTATGAGAGGTTTGCAGGAGGGGGGACTGTGAAGTTATTACTTAATGAATATAGAGTTTCTGTTTGGGGTAATGAAAATGTTTTGGAAATAGTGGTGATGGATGTACAACATCGTGAACGTAACTAATGCCACTGAATCGCACATTCAAAAATGGTTAAAGTGGCAAATTTCATGTTATTTTACTGGAAAAAAATTTAAAAAATTATGCCACAGCTACTAAAAAAAACAAACAATACACACACATACACAAATCAAAGTGTCACTACATTCAAAGCATTTAATACTGCCTTCAATTAAATATTTAGTATGAAGAGATCAATAAGCAAGACAGAATTTTTATAAACAATTTTCCGAAGTTCATACTTAAACTTTGCATTAGAAATTTAAGCTTTTATTTCCCACGTTTAATACAAACTGTAGAACAAACATTCTCAAGAACATAATAGATGTGAAATTTTATAATGAAAAGGAAATGTCTCTTATAACATTTTAAAAAATTATCATTAGTATCACCATTATCATGTACGGGCAGTTTCAAAACTGAATTTCAAGGAAGTCAAATTTGAGAAATAACTAAATTTTTTGGACCTAAAACATATGCCTGACTTAAATGTACACTAATTCTAGCGGCTTACTTTTCAAATACTATCAACTTACATCTTAGAAGGAAGAAAAGTAAAATGGATACTGAAATTATGACTTTTTTTCTGAAAATCTAATCTAAACATCTGTAAAAGACAGTGCTCATTCTGGTTCTTCAAACACAGAAGAAAGTTGTAAAAAATGAAGTACAGCTATGTAAAAGATGCTGGAATTTAACTACAAATACAAAATCAGCATGAGAGTATCTCCTGATCTTGCTTTAAATATAATTTTAAAACACGATCCCTTGCCAGCTCATTTCACTGAAACGACAAAATCTTCCAACTGCTTTTCCCTAGGAAATCAACTGGAAAGTGCTACTCATTATTTATTAATATTTCACAATTATATCAGTTCTTAATACTTCCAGATCTCAATACATTCATCCAAGGGGGAAGTGGTCCTATAAAGCTACCTTAATAACTGAGAAAATGGAGGTTCAAATGGCTTTCTCTAAATCCCTCACAGACTGTATATCAGGAAGCTGAGATCTTAGACATTTTTCAAATACATTTACAGGACCCTACTTCTTTGATAATCATCTGTCAGTTTGTTGTACTGTGGTGGCTTGTGTATGGCTGTGATGCTGGAAGCTATGCCACGGGTATTCCATGGTCACCATGGTGGACAGGTTTCAGTGGAGCTTCCACACTAAGACAGACTAGGAAGAAGGACCTGGAGATCTACTTCTGAAACAAACAAACAAAAACCTGGCCAGTGAAAACCTTATGAACAGCAGCAGAACACTGTCTGATATAGTGCTGGAAGATGAGCCCTTCAGGCTGGAAGGTATTCAAAATACAACTGGGGAAGAGTTGCCTACTCACAGTACAGTCCACCTTAATGACATGGATAGAGTAAAGCTTTAGGACCTTCATTTGCTGATGTGGCAGGACTCAAACAGAGAAGAAACAGCTGCAAACATCCATTAATAATTGGAAAGTGGAATGTAAGAAGTATGAATCTAGGAAAATTGAAAGTTGTCAAAATGAAATGGAATGCATAAAGATCGATATCCCAGGCATTAGTGAGCTGACATGGACTGGCACTGGCCATTCTGAATTGAACAATCATATGGCCTACTATACCAGGAATGACAAATTGAAGAGGAATGGCATATTCACTGTTAAAAAGAACATTTTAAGATCTATCCTGAAGTACAATGCTGTCAGTGATAGGATAATATCCATATGCCTATAAGGAAGACCAGTTAATAGTATTATTCAAATTCACGCACCAACCACTAAGGCCAAAGATGAAGAAATTGAAGGTTTTTACCAATTTCTGCTGTCTGAAATTGCTCAAACATGCAATCAAGATGCATTCATAATTACTGGTGATTGGGATGTGAAAGTTGGAAACAAGAAGGATCATTAGTTAGAAAATATAGCCTTGGTGATAGAAACAATGCTGGAGATTGCATGACAAAATTTTGAAAGACCAATGATTTATTCATTGCAAATACCTTTTTTCAACAACATAAACAGTGACTATACACATAGAAATAGCCAGATGGAGAAGCTCAATATCATCAATCAGAATAAGGCCAGGGGCCAAATGACGAACAGACCATCAGTTGCTCATATGCAAGTTCAAGTTGAAGCTGAAGAAAACTAAATCAAGTCCATGAGTGCCAAAGTATAACTTTGAGTATATCCCACCTGAATTTAGAGACCATCTCAAGAAAAGATTTGATGCACTGAACACTAATGACTGAAGACCTGACGAGTTGTGGGATGACATCAAGGACATCATACATGAAGAAAGCAAAAGGATATTAAAAACACAGGAAAAAAAGAAAGACCAAAATGGATGTCACAAGAGGCTCTGAGACTTGCTCTCGAATGTAGAGTAGCTAAAGTGAACGGAAGAAATGATGAAGTAAAAGAGCTGAACAGAAGAGTTCAAAGGACAGTTCGAAAAGACACAATAAAGTCCTATAATGAAATGTGCAAAGACCTGGAGTTAAGAAAACAAAAGGGAAGAACACGCTTGGCATTTCTCAAGTTGAAAGAACTGAAGAAAAAATTCAAGCCTTGAGTTACAATATTAAAGGATTCTATGGGCAAAATATTAAACGACACAGGAAGCATCAAAAGAAGATGGAAGGATTATAGTCACTGTACTAAAAAGAGCTGGTTGAAGTTAACCATTTCAGGAGGTAGTGTGATCAAGAACTGGTGGTACTGAAGGAAGAATTCCAAGCTGCAGTGAAGGCACTGGCAAAAAACAAGACTCCAGGAATTGATGGAATACAAGCTGAGATGTTTCATCAAATGGATGCAACACTTGAAACACTCACTTGTCTACACCAAGAAATCTGGAAGACAGCTACACCTGGCCAACTGACTGGAAGAGATCCATATTTGTGCCCATTTCAAAGAAAGGTGATCTAACAGAATGTGGAAATTATCAAACAGTATCATTAATATAACAAACAAGTAAAACTTTGCTGAAGATAATTCAAAACCGGTTGCAGTGGTATAGCGATAGGGAACTGCCAGAAATTCAATCCAAATTCAGAAGAGGACATGGACATTGCTGATGTCAGATGGATCCTGGCTGAAAGCAGAGAATACCAGAAAGATGTTTACCTGTCTTTTGATGACTGTGCAAAGGCATTAGACTGTGTAGACCATAAGAAATTATGGGTAACATTGTGAAGAATGGAAATTCCAGAACGCTTAATCGTGCTCATGAGGAACCTGTACATAGACCAAGAGGCATTCATTCAAATAGAGCAAGGGGATACCGTGCGGTTTAAAATTAGGAAAGATGTACATCAGGGTTGTATCCTTTCACGATACTTCTTCAATCTGTATGCTGAGCAAATAATCCGAGAAGCTGGACTATTTGAAGAAGAACGTGGCATCAGTATTGGAGGAAGACACATAAACAGCCTGTGAAATGTAGATGATAAAATCTTGCTTGCTGAAAGCGAAGAGGACTTGAAGCGCTTACTGATGAAGATCAAAGACTACAGCCTTCAGTATAGATTATACCTCAATATAAAGAAAACAAACATCCTCACAACTGGACCAATAAGCAACATTACGATAAACGGAGAAAAGACTGAAGTTGTCAAGGATTTCATTTCACTTGGATCCACAATCAATGCCCATGGGAGCAGCGATCAGGAAATCAAAAGATGTGTTGCACTGGGCAAATCTGCTGCAAAAGACCTCTTTAAAGTGTCAAAAAGCAAAGATATCACTTTGAGGACTAAGGGACGCCTGACCCAAGCCATGGTATTTTCAGTTGCCTCGTATGCATGCGAAAACTAGACAATGAATTAAGGAAGAACAAAGAAGAACTGACACCTTTGAATTATGATGTTGGCAAAGAATATTGAATATACTGTGGACTGCCTGAAGAATGAACAACTCTGTCTTGGAAGACGTACAACCAGAATGCTCTTTAGAAGCGAGGATGGCGAGACTTCACCTCACGTACTTTGGACGTTATCAGGAGGGATCAGTCCCTGGAGAAGGACATCATGCTAGGTAAAGTAGAGGGTCAGTGAAAAAGAAGACAACCGTCAACGAGATGAACTGACACAGTGGCTGCAACAATGGGCTCAGACATAGTAACGACTGTGAGGATGGCACAGGACTGGGCAGTGTTTT